CCTCCCATTGAAGGACACAAATGTTTCTTTAAATATTTTTGCTATCATAAATGTTGCTGCAATTAACATTTTGAAATCTTTTGATACATATTCCCAACTTGTTATTCAGTAGTTACCATTTTTCATTCCTAGCAGCACTGGGACTGCTTCCCTTTAGCTGTACCATCATTGAGCCTTATTTTTGATCTCATGCCAATCTAAAAGGCAAAAAGTGGTATCTTGTTGTTTTAATTTGCATTTCTTTGATTACTAATTAGGTTGAACTTTTTCATATGTTCATTGGTCAATTTGCATTTCTTCTTTTGTGAAATGCCTGCTTGGGTCTTTTATGTGCTTCTCCATTAAAGTGTTCTTTTCTTGATTAAATAGATTATATAATCATCATGTGTTGCAAGTATTTCTGTTCATTTGGCCTTTGCTTGTGACTCCCTTTTATGGGTCTTTAGGACTTTGTAGGCATTGAATAATTTTTATGTTAATTATCTTGATCTTGGAATGTCTGTCTGCCTTTGCTGATATGCTTAGGGCTTTTTTTATTATGGTTATATTAATTTCTAATCTGGAAATACTGGTGCATATTATGAGATGGGGCTCTATTTTTTTCTTTACAAAAAATTAAATCAGTTTTAAAGCACCTTTCACTTTTTCCCAGTAAGCTTAGATTCTACCATAACACATTAGAGAATTTTAAAAATCATATAAATGTTTCTCTGGTCCATTCATTTCTCTACTTAAAGATGTTTTTAATTATCATAACTTTATAAAATATACTTGACAGGGCACGATCTTCCCTTCATTATTTTTACAACATTTTTTTTAGTTAATGTAAGACATTTATTCCAAGAGAATTTGCAAATCACTTGATTAGGTTCCTTGTTCCTCCTTACATCAAAGAATATACCATTGAGATTTTGATTGAAGTTGTATTATAGTTATTAATAATGAGATTTCTGTCATATAAAACATGTAATCTTGGAACTTAATACATCTCCATTTAATTCTTTATTCTTAGTAAATTATAAATGGCTTTTCCTTCATTCAAGTCCAGCATCATTTCGCTAATTTATTCCTAAGTATGATATGCTAATGGATATGGTATCTCTTTATATCCATTATGTCTCCTTGAGTATAGACACATTTGTAACGAGCTTCCTTACTGAATATTTTTATTAGGTCTAATGATTAAGTTGACTCTTTTGGTTTTTACAAATATATTGTGATATTGTTACAATTTCAGCTTCCTCTCCCTCTACCACCAATTATTGTCTTTTATTTCATTTTCCTTATGGCATTGGCCAGAATGTCTAGAGTAATTGGGAACAGTGAAGATGATTTTATAGGTATTCTATTAGATATTCTTATTTCTGGAAATTAGTCTGTTTTTTATTGTCATGCGATATTGGCTGTTGGTCAATATCTTTAAATTTTCAATTTTCTAAGAGGTTTTAAATTGGAATAGTTTTTGAATTATTTGTTAGCCAAAATGAAGCACATGCATATGAAATAATTCCAGACTACACTACAAAACTTCAAATTAAAAGTAAAGAGTTTATTTTGCCCCAATTTTTCTTTCCCTCAATGGCTGCTTTTTCTTCTCTTACTTTTCTTCCTTCTTTCCTTCCTCTGTGTTCTTACTTGTTGTATGTTTTCCCACATAAAATGAAATTTATATGTGACACAAATTGTTGTAAGATTAGCCTAGAAGTTATTACCAACATAATGTGTATAAAGGGTTTAATTTTGAGATTATTTAAAGGATTTCTGCAAGTAGACAACTAAATAGAAGTAGGGCAAAGCACATATAGAGGCAACTCTTGAGAAACTAAAATGGAAAGCACATGAAAAGATGTTCAACTTTGCTAATTGCTTGATTTTTTTTTTGAAGAATACCCACAGATATAGCCAAAATCAAGTTTATTTAGGCAGGAATATGGTGCAGCTTATCTACACATCCAGCTGTGTGAAGCAGACACCCAGCAATACCCCCATACTCAGACAAACTTCCCCAGCTTCACAGGACACTGTTTACCACATACTTCTTTATATACTACAGAGTGAGGAGTTTCCAGGACCTTGGACAGGCCTGCTCCATTCATTGTTGAGAGTACTGGAAGTGGGTAAGATATCACTGAACTTTCTCAATTGTTCTGTGAGGGAGGCCACAGGCCTACCGGTTCGGAAGCATCTCACATGATGATCAGAATGGAGAGAGACAGAGAAAGATAGAGATAGAGATAGAGATAGAGAGAGAGAGAGGGAGAGAGAGAGAGAGAGAGACTCTGCTTGCCATATACAAAATATATATCCCTAAGGCACACCCCTAATGACCTTCCTCCTCTAGCCACATCCTACTCACCTTCAGTTACCACTCAGTTAAACACTGATTGTGTTAATGCTATCACAAACCAATCATTTCACTTCTAAATATTCTTTCATTGTCTCACAGATGAGCTTTTGGGGACACCTCACATTCAAACCGTAGCAATATTACTAACTTATTGTGAATGAGTTAGGTTATCATATCCCTCTGGCCAGCTTTTCTAATATATTCTTCCTTATTAGAACTGGGACTCCTTGAAAAACTCAGATGAACTTGAAACCCTATGCTGTTATAAGAGGCTATTTTCAGAGATAGGTTACCAAGGTGCTCAACTGGAGAGACTTACACTGATCAGTGGGTGATATTAAGAGGGAACCAAAAATTTTAGTTAATTGGAACATTATCTGAAAAAGGACTTAACTTCATAATATGATTAAAGGGCATAAATGATCTAAAATATGCTAAAGCAGTGTTTTCAAAGTGTGTTCCAGGGACTTTTTCAGGGATTAGTAAAGTCAAAGCTGTTTTTATCATATTACTAAGAATGTATTTGCAATAGTCACTCATTGTCTCCCAAGGGTACAGTAGAATTCTGCAGAGATGAATATGTCTGACATCCTTGCCCTGTAGGAGTGTATGCATTGTTTTCTTGTTCTTTGAAAAAAAATCTCAATTTCAATTTCTAGTACAACAAATACAGATACTTATAACCTACACAAACAAGTTATCTGGGGTTCTTCATTCTTTAAGAGTACAAAGGGCTTCTGAGACTGATAGCTTGAGAACTGTACTAGAGAAAACTCAATCTTACAATACAGATTAATTGATTAGTATTTATAGAAAAGGGAAGTCAGGATGAATCATTCAATTCATAAAGGTATAAAAAGGTTTTGGCTCAAATACGTGCACTCCTTTGGTTAAAGTGATTATAATAATAGTGATGATTATTTTCTGAGATTATGAAATGTTTTGCTACACAAAGAAAAGCCTGCTGAATTGATATGTTGGGGGTCTTGTGTCCCTGAAGGATGGAAGTGGATTATAATCAGAGCTGAAACCTGAACTTTCTAGAGAATGTCAGGCCTGAAAAATGGACTTTGGGTTCCCCCTATCCTACTAAACAATAGGATAATCTTTGAGTGAAGGTTTTTCTATTCCTTTCTTTTTTAGTGGTACCTGTGCTTCATAATCAATCAGGCTATGATTTACAGAATGATTAGACAAGGCCCCAAACTCCCAGAAATATGCAGACAATGAGTATCTTGGAGTGCCTCAAAGTCCTCACTCCAGTCTGAAGACAATTGCATACTTCAAGGAATGAAGAAGCTGAGACAAAGCTTCTACTTTCTATTGTTTTATCTGGTTTTTAATCTGTTTTTATTCATTACTTTTTCTATTGTGGGACACATATTTTGTATACCTAGTTATGTGAAGTTGGATGAAAAATATTACAAAACTTGCAGGACATTGTTACATTTCTATGAATATTCTTGTGCTTTGTAAGTTACTTGGAAGCAGAGTAATGCTTTTGTACCTTGTTTTTTAGGCTTGTTAGGTGGCAGCCTTTGGTCAACTCACTGATGGGACATTACTCTTCTAAATATTCTCCCCATTCTCCCATGAATTTCCATGATTTTCCACTTTGGCTGGTTGGATGCCTATATAATCTGAACACTGTTCTCATAGTCCTGTGAGTAGTTCTTTCCCTGGCCTCACGTGTTGACCAATATTTGCTGAAGACTTGACAGCTCTACAGATATTAAGTGCTCTCTGTGAAGCCTTTTCCTTTCTGGTAATTAGCCTTATGAATCTTTGTCACCTTGATATCTTGGACCCCTAATTCCCTCTCAATCAAGAAAGACCACCAGGGTTCCCCTGCCTCCATTGTGGACTGGACACTCTCTCCTGTAGTAGATTGGGGCAATCATGTGGTGCATTTTGTTTGTCTTCTCTTAGGGACCACTGTCTTCCTTTGTTACCTGAGGTCCAGTGTCTTAAACACTGCTTCTTCAGGTATCGTGTGTGGTTTTGTGGTGTTTCAGGTAGAAGTTATAAACAGTCCATGTCATTCCATGTTGATCAGAAGCAAAAGTTTTGAAAGTTGCTCACACACACACACACACACACCACTTTAAAAATAAAGTCTGATTGTGGTTAAGATTTTTGAGTGCTTTTCTAGATTGGCAGGAATTCCTATGTTTCCTATTGACAGTAATCATACATGTACATCCTTTTTGCACATGTGTTACTTTTCCAGGAGGGTTCATTTCCTTTTCTTTAACATTGCCTTCAACAAGTTGGCATAACTCACTTCTGTGAGTGAATTCTGTGTTTTTGGTTTTTTTGCATTACTTTGTCACAAATAGTACAAAAGAGCCCCTTGCATGATATTAATTTATTACTACAGTGTTGCTCAGAATTCTTCATACATTAAATGTTCTGATTCTGAATATTGTAGGCCTCGTGTGGCAGAAATGCCCTTCATTCATCCTATTTTTCCCCCTCATTTTGGAAAATAGACCCATTTTTTTTCTTCCCTTCCTGTCTCATGCAGGGACAGATGCAAAGGGAAGGCCACATAATTAAAAATGATAAAGATTTTCTGGGTCTTAACTATTGTGCATACATAGAAGATATGGATGTAATGGTTTTGATTGAAGAAAATAAATTTTCTTTTCAGGTAATTATAAATTTGATTTGCTATGTAAAGAAGAATCTCTTGAGCTCAAAAACATATTCTCTGTGAAACTGAAGCGGCGTTGCTCTGCTAAGCAGCCAAGAAGTGGGACTTTACTAGGCATCACACTTTTCTTCTGCCTGAAAAAGGAACAGAACAAATTAAAAGATTGCACCCTTGATCTTATTAATTTAAGTGAAGACCACTGCGATGTATGGTTTAGACAGTTCAAGAAAATTTTATCAGGTAAGTACTCCTGGGAGTTGTTTGTTTGTTTGTTTGTTTTTAGTTGTAGATGGACACAATACCTTTATTTATTTATTTATTTATTTATAAATGGTGCTGAGGATTGAATCCAGTGCCTCACATATGCCAAATGCATGTTCTACCACTGAGCCACAACCCCAACCCCATCCTGGGAGTTTTGTATATTTAATGTAGATTATGAATATACACATGTTATATTTATGGGTACAAACAACACTTGATTCTGTTGATGGCATCTTACTATTCCTAGTATGTTGAGTGTGTTTATTATAAGAGGGCATTGAATTTTGTCAAGTGCTATTTCTACATCAACTGAGATGATTATCTTTTCCCCCTTTATTCTGTTCATGTGGTATATTACACTGATTTTTCATGTATTTAACCATCCTTGCATTCTAGGAACAAATCCCAATTGGTCTTGGTGAATAAGCTTTTAATGTGCTATTGAATTTATTTTGCTCAAATTTTATTAAGGATTTTTACATCAACGTTCATAAAGGATATTGATGTGTAGTTCCTTTTTAGTATCTTGGTCTGGATTTGGCATCAGGTTAATGCTGGCCCAATGGAATGAGCTAGGGATTGGCTCTTGAGTGACCACATTCACAAAGAAGCTTCTATAATCTCAAATAATAGTTTTTAAATAATTATGTTCACTTTCAAGTTACTTTTAGAAGCATATTTTTATATTCACATCTTTCAGCTTATTTTAGAACTTTTTTCTTCTAGGCACTTATTGACAGCATAGTTTGTATTGATGCCTTGGGCATTTGAAAATAAGAATGTTTTGAAGATAATCTTTAAGGGACTTTACTTTTTACTGTGTCAATTGAGAGTTGTCTATCTTAGGGTAGATTTTTCTGAAGGTGAACATCTAAGAACATGCTTATTAGAATATATCTCATAGATGGACTCTGTATCTGAAATTTCTAAATGGCACTATTATATTTTGCACACTAAACAAAATAATAAATAAAATGCAATTTGGATTTTTAAATGTTATCTAGTTAAAATATGATCTGATTTTTAGGGTTGATTTATTTTTTTGTCTTCATAGGTTTGAAAATATTGCTTAATTTCCTTTTAGCCCACTTTTTTCCTTTTTGCCAGATTGACCAGGATAGTGGCAGCTGGTACTGCTGATGGTTTAGTTTGGGCTTGGATGACTCAGGAGAAAGATGGGTGCCAGATAACGAGCATGCACACAGAGATGTCAGAAATATTCAGGTCCAACATCTATGATCAACATCATGAGGACCCATGCTGGTCACTGGCAGGCCACTGCTAAGGTTATACCCATAGAAGATACCAATAAGCTGACATGACTGCATTAAAACTGAGAAACTCTGCTGCTAAGTAGCCCCATCCTTCTTCATTATCCCCTTTGGGATCTTCAATGAGACCTGATTCTTTCAAGAGGGCAGAAACCCACAGAGGCCATAATTTAGTTCATTCCTGAAAATGGAGAAAAATCAGTGTAATTAACTAAAAGCATTCCACTTTAACAGTGGGACTTTTACACTGTTATTCAAATTCATGTGAAAAGATAAAAGGTTAAAAATGAAAAATGAATCATTTCAATTACATTTATTAACATGACTAGTTATTCATTGGACTTGCATGGTCTGTAAAAGAAGCATCAAACTCTTCCTCACTCTGAAATCCTGATAAATCTCCCAGGGAGCTTATAAAAAGATGGCTAAAGCAACTTCTTTAATATATCTCACCAATAAAGCCAAAAGAAAGTAGCAGAAGATATCACAACAAAGCTCAATTCAGTAAAAGCAATTTTATAGGAGTGTGCCTAGCCATAAGCAAACAAAACAGCCCCCGATACACTGTCCAGATATTCAGCTTAATGATGTTTTGGATTAATTTAATGTTAAAATCTAGACAGATTACAGAGATCACTAAACAACTTATTATCTAGGCTATCGTCCTTTGGGGATATTACTTCTTGTACTTTTGATTTTGATAAGAGTTGGAGACAGTAAAATATATAAGGTCATAATCTCTGCATTGGTCCTGGAGTAGAGTTAATTTGCTGATTAAAAGCAAATAGACTGACTTTTAAAACCAAGCAGTGCAAACAAACAACACAGGATTGAAATATTCTAATGAAAATGAAAACCAAGACTATCTGAATAAATGACTGTCTCATCTCTACATCTAAGGAACAGGGAGTCCTTATAGGAGGGGTCAACTTCTTATCTCCACTCAAAAGCAGTTCTGGGTCAACTTCATTGTGCACAAGTGAACAGCTGAAGCACCAAGACTCTCTGCCACTCATTATATTATATTGGTACTTCCTTTTTAAGATTTTATCCTCAGTTTTTCTTGCTATTTCTTTCATGTTCAGATCCATGAACTCCAGGTGTTTATTAAAGTGCCTATCATCTGACAGTCAAATACAACTGGATCAAACCTCTTTCCCTTAGTGGAGGAAGCCCTGAGTCCTTCTCAGTCTGAGATAGGACTATTGCGTACCTTTACCTGGTCTTCTCTGGCTCTGCTTTCCAAGGAGTTGGGTCTCCGTTTGTATTATCTCCTCATCTTATATCCACTGTCCCTGTTATTTGATAACAGTGCATCAGATTTAGAAAATGGTGATTGATCAGTGTTTAGCCATCCCTGCCCCCTGAAAGAATTCCCCATCTAAATAATTAGTGTTTAGAGCTAATTTAAATTTAGGAGGTGATGAATTTTACACCACAAAAAATATATTTGATTCACAGTTAAATATTAAGCAATTCTATTTTAGGTACAAAGACCTTGCTTTTAACTGGTTTTGTTGATGAAATCAACAGGTTGTTTTTAAAAATTGCATTGACTTATTTTGGTTTTTATCTTTATGTAGCAAAGAGATTTTTTTTCCTGCCAGCCTTTATATCTTATCCCTTTTTTACTCCAAATATGAAAAACATGAAGAAGGAAGGCCTTCATACCTCAAGGGGTTGGTCTTTTAGTCTAATTAGTGTAACAATAATTTTAGCGTAATTTAGATATTATGAGTCATTTTCAAATATGCACATTTTCTCTTTGAATCAGAGCAATGAATAGGATGTGATGAATTTTTAAGAAAACAGACCAGCAGTACTGGGGGTGCGACAAAACAACCCTCAAACACTTTTGATTTTAAGACTTAATTGACAAAAGGTGACCAGATAATTGTAGGTTTATAAATATAAAACAATCTTAGAAGTCTATTTTTACCAGAAAACAAGTTGGCTCCTTTCATGTTACAATTCTGAGTGCAATTGAGTACAGCATCTTTTTTTTATTCTTAATAATAGAAAAGTCATCATAACTTTATGACAAGTGGGCAATAGAGGTTCATTCATCCAACACACATTTTGTATTAGACTCTGTGTTAAGAGTTGGAAATACAAAAATGAAGATGTACTCCTATATAGAACTCTAATTCTATATTCCTGTATAGAACTCTTTTGCCCTGGATACATAATAGACAATTCATTGTATTAAAAAATGTATTAAGGGCAACAATGATGATATGAACAATTGAATAGGGACCACAACAATTGATTATTGATTTAGAGATTCAAAAATTTTTTAAGTAGTTTAGATTATGTAGTTGTGTGGTGAAAGCAATTTAACATAGTCTTTCTACTTTTTTATATACCTGTGATGCAAAGATAAATATGCATAGATTTTAAATATAGCAAGAGTGTACAATAGGTAGGTTGACTTTTATCCATTTAGTGTATGAGCCAATTTCTGCATATTTGAGTTTCCTAGAAATGGTGACTTATGAGCTCCTCTGAACACTCTGAACCAAGCTTTTCCTTAGAAACAATTACCTAAATGTTAATGGATATTCATAGGCTTTCTGGCAGGCACCCTGTATGGGAATAAAGAACGCAGTATCCTGCAGGTGATATTTAGGGTCCTCAGAACTTGGCAGAAGTCAAAGAGAGAAACGAAACAAAATAATGGCAAAAGAAAACTAGAGTTCTAAAGGATTTGCTCAAGTGACTTGGAGAATAAAGATGCAGTTTATTGTAAAACACAGTTGACTCAAAAGAAAATATTCTATTCTTGGCCCAATGGGATGTACTACATGATGCAACTGGGGATGATGAACCACGGAGCACTTTGAGAGGAATTTATGAAGAAGGGGAGAAGAGTTTATGAAAATAGATGAAATCACAAAAGCAAGTAGTATAGATTTTTTTAAAAAAAGCAGAGTATTACATACAAAATCTTGGGGACATGCTTATATATTAAAATACAAAAGAAAAAAGAGGAAAAAACTGAAAAAAAATGGTAAAAAAATTGAAGAACCCTTTTAGCATAAGACTGTAGAGTTTTTCAAAATGGATGAAGGACCTAGGAATTAGACTAGAGATTCTATACCTACTAGAAGAGAATGTACACCCAATTCTCCGTCATGTCAGCTTAGGAACCAATTACCTCAACAAGATTCCTCAAGCGCAAGAAGCAAAATCAAGAATCAATAAACTAAAAAGCTTCACAGCAAAGGGAAAAGTCAAGAACCTGAACAAAGAGATTACAGAATGGGAGAAAATCTTTCAAACCCATACTTCAAAGCATTTACCTCCAGGATATATAAATAACTCAAAAAACTTAGCATCAAAAACCCAAATAACCAAAATCAACAAATGGGCAAAGCAACTGAACAGGTACTTCAAGAAGAAATACAAATGATCAAAAAATATATATATATGAAAAAAATGTTCAGGGGCTGGAGTGATGGCTCAGTGGTGGAGTGCTCACCTAGCATGCATGAAGCACTAGGTTCCATCCTCGGCACCACATAAAAACAAACTAATGTATCTACCTAAAACTAAACATATATAAATAAATAAGTATTTTTTAAAAATGTTCAACATCTCTAGAAATTAGAGAAATGCAAATTAAAACTACACGGAGATTTCTTTGCATTCTAGACATACTGGCATTTATTAAGAATATTAGTGACAATAAATGTTGTCAAGGAT